GTGTGTGTGTGTGTGTGTGTGTGTGTGTGTGGCGCGGCAACAGCTGCCAAGGAGTTAATAATAGCAGTGCCAGTGCTCTGGTGTGTTTCCTTTAGAACTGTTTCCACACACATTTCTAAAATTAAGACCGTTGGGTAAACAGTGTTCTGTAACCTGCCCCTTTCACTTAGAGTATTCTTTACTAGCCAGTTTTCAGATTTTCTTAAAACATTGTACATGTTTCTGATTTAAGACATTTGTGTCTTTTAACATGTGTTTTTAGGGACTACCCAGTTTTCTGCCCATCGAGGCCCCAGCCTCCATGACCCACTCCTGGACTGTCAGGCATTTTCCTTTGCCTTTTCTTCTCTTTTTTTTTTTCTTTTGTAAATAATGTGGTGTTTTCCCTTGAAGAAAAACCTTTGCCCACACTGCTGATTTTGCTGGGGATCTAGTCCCGGGTGTAGAATGGCTGGGCCAGAGCAAGGCCATGTTTTCGAGGCTTTGTTGTGTTGTGGTCAATGGCCCCCAGGAAGCTGGGACAGTGACACCCTCTCCCCCGTGGCCGTGTGTTATGTTTTTGTTTTTATAAAGTTAAGTTCATCGCTGCTTTTCTTTCGTTTAAATGGTTTGGTATAAAAAAGTTATTTTTTTTCAGAGGAAAATGAAAACCCCCTTGATCCTACCAGTTGGTGGTGGTTTTTTGGTGGGGGGCTCCAGAGGGCCAGGGGCTCCTGGGCAGAGGGGGCTGAGGAAGGGTCCCTAGTTTGAAGGCTGCTGCCCACCCTGGTCCCTTTTTGTACTCCTGACTCATTTTCTGTTTGAGGCCCTGCATGCCCTCATTCAGTGAATGCTTATTAGGTATCTACTGTGTTCCTGGCACAGTTTTGCTGCTGGGGCCCAGCACTGCCTAGTGGTGACAGGTGGTGGGTGCAAACACTGGGAGAAGGGGAAAGGCAGAGGTGGGAAGGGTGGTCTCATAGGGAACAGCCAGGGAAGCCCCTCTTGATAAGGGGACCTGAGGAAGGTGAGAGAGGAAGGCTCTTCTGGCACACCAAAGTAACAGCAGGTGCAGAGGCCCTGAGGTGGCAGTGTCTGGCACGTTGGAACCAGGGATAAGGCGGCTAGGGGCTAGAGTGGTGTGTGGGGGGGAGTGGTGGCAT